CTCTCTCAGCAATAAACAACTATAATACAATAACCATATAAATAATGACAATGATTTGGATGCCTGGGACCAGTTCAGACATTGGTTATTTCAACACTCTTGTAGGTGTGCATTGGGCTGCCTTTGGCTCTGGGAACAGCCTGCACCCTGGCCTCTCTGGGCAGAGAGCTACAGCCGCCGTGAAAGCTTCGCTCCACAGACTGGCTGTTGGCACGCAACCTCAGTGGACTCTGGAAGAAAGTAAAGGCATGAAAATATATGTGATGTTGACTCTTCTGAAAAAGTGACATCACCCCTTAAACATTATTTTCTCACACTAGCAAATAAAGCCGTTCAGTATAAAGTACTGAACAGTGTCATCCTGGTGTCCTAAGTGTTTAAGGTACTGCCATGTGCTTGTTTTAAATAAGGCTGGGGGCTTTTGGTCAACACCCTCGCTCCTTTCATATCCTGCCAACTCTACTGTCCAATATCGAATAAAAGCAAAGCTGTTCAAAAAATTTCAGTTCTCACCTAGTTAAAAATATTTTGGATTGATTGCATTTAAAACATTCAATATTCTATTTCAGTTTTACCTGAAGGTTTTACATTTTATAGCCTGTGTACAAATCCTAAAAATGTTGATCTTTTGATGCGCATATAGATAAAAAAAATCCTGACCTAACACCCTGGCTGAAATCCAGCTTATGATACAAATGTGATATGACATGATACCTTGTTTGTTCTTCTAAGAGACACCCTCTCCTCAGCAAAGCGGTTCACAGCCGCAGGTGAAGAAGAGTTAATAACCTCATCGCCCTGCCCCGCGTTGCTATAAACACGAGACATTAATTTATTTCTGTTTATTTTTTTGTATTAATAGCACATTTTAAAGTTGTAATTATGTGAACAGTGTTTATCTACTGTACCTCTGAGGAGCAGCGAGTAATTTCATCTCCTCATATAGGTGCCGATGCAGCATGTGTTTGTTGCTAGAGATCCCCAGGGCTTTGGCCATAGCATCTGTGTCAAAGGATGGGTCCAGAGCCATCACAGCTCCATGGATCCCTTTACCCTGAAGATTATCTGCAAACTCCTAAAGGGCAAGCCACAGAAAGCAGTGTGTGAAAGCTTTGTGTGGGTGTGTGTGTGCACAGTGCAGCTGGGAAAAACGACTTTTTCAGTGCTGCCAGAATCATATTGGCACAAAAGTCAAATTTAATAGCAAACTTTAATGGCAAATAACAGCCATGGTGAAGATTTGGAAAAAAAAAAATTAAAGATAAATGTTTGGAAAAATACTGAAAAACAAAGAATGGTAAAGTAGTATTCATTACTTATATGGTATTTTTTAAGTTTCTCTGTCTAGACCAGTATTTCTGCTCTGTATTTCCTTCATCAGTGGTTATGCACCAACGCACATAGCTATCGTTATTTTTGAGGGAGTCCAAGAAATTGTGCGGCAGCTGGCTCCAATCTGCCCTATAGACAACTCCAGGGCAAAAGGAAGTGCTGCCACTGACCTTCCACCCACCTTGAGGTCTATGTCTCTGATCCACTTCATTACTCTGTGACATGTCCAAACAATGGGGTCCCTGTCTTGGTGCTCACATTTGGTGCGGCGTGCCTGCAGGGCCTGCAAAAACACAACACACAGATAGCTGCAAAAGCACTAATATGGTGGTGGCTGAGGAAAACACAGAGAGAGGTCATGGAAGAATAAGAGTTTGCTGAGTTAAATGCTTCTGTGCGCCTCATGTCATGATGGATAATAATGGAAATCTCAAGCAGTTTTCTCAGTCAGTGAGTATAAATGTATGCAAAGTGAAAGAACTGCTGAAAAAGATTCATTCAGTGACATGTAACACAATCTATAGTCTAACCTCTTTATCAAAGCCAAGCATCTGTAGCAGCTGGATTGCCAGAAGTATGCTGGTCTGGTGGAACTGGTCACTGATGCTGAGGAATCTCTCCAGGTCTCTGCGGCTTAGAGAGTTTAGCACTCGTCCATCCACTAAGTGAGTCTGGAAACTTTGGGCGTATTGAGGCAGCCCCACGTCACTCAGCCAGGATGTTGCAACCCAGTGATGGTCCATTTCAGATGCTTTTGACAGTCTAGAAGATTATTAGGTGCCAATATTCAGCAGTGATGGAAGAAGTGGACAGTACCCTTACCTAGGTATAGGTAGCAATACCACACTGAAACGATACCCCTTTACAAGCTTATGTCCTCATGTCCATACTTTTATGACTTAAAAGTATGTTAGAATTCTAAAGAAAATGTGCTTTTAGGTGCTAAAAGTACTCATAATGAAGAAATCTAACCCCTGTGAGTATTATAAGGCCATATATTGAATTAATGAAAATTCTTGTGATAAGCTGGATAAGATGGATCTATTTGGACAGTTTACAATAAAACAATGTTTTATAAGATCATTATATAGTTTGATGATATTTTAAATCTTAATCTGCAAATGAACTCTAAAAATGCCAAATAGATGTAGAGGAGTAAAAAGCATAATATTTTTCCTATGAAATGAATCGGACAAGAGGTATTAATTAGCATGAAATGAAAATACTTAAATTGGCTACAAGTACTTCAATTTAGTTCTTAATCACAATAATATAGTAAATGGACTTAGTCAAAGCTTCTTTAGTGTTTTGTTAACTGCTGCTCACCCTTGATCTCCTTCAGCTCTTCTATAATCCTCAATGGCCAGTCTTAGCTTCCTGCGATGAATCAGATTACTGATGCCCAGACCCAGCTCTAAATCTTCATCTGTCAGGCCTAGCAGCACCTAAAGAGCCGAAATACAACTGGCTATCAAACCCGAATATACTGTTCTGCTCAAAAAATGACCCCACTTTCATACAGGCAAACAAGAAAGAACCACTTATACCGAAGTAGTACCTTGCCACTTTTGACGTTTTCAGAGCAGGCTCGGATGTACATGGGCATTCCCATGACAACCTCCAGCCAGGCCTGGACTGCACCTGCTCTCCATAGTGACATGCATGTGTTTCGTGTGAGCTCTGCCTGCTGAAGGCGGTCCAGCTGCTCCTCTCCGTCAGACAGGCTCTGCTGTGTGAGGCTGTCAGAGTCTGGATTGTTCAGGAGAAGTTATAGTGTAGCATACAGGAAAGGTTCAGGGTCAGAGGGACAGAAAAATTTTGAAAATGACTAATCTGGAGACAATTTGACATCAAATCAGAGGGTGTTTTTGGTTAAAAGCACATACACACACTTCCACCTCAAGTGTGTAACAATATGCAGAAAAAGTTGGGATGCTACTCTAAAATATCAGAATCTTTTCTGTACATGAACCTCAGAACTGTGTTTCTGGATTTCTCTCAAGAGGAATCAAGACAGAGTTGTCAGTCTGGCGGATGAAACATAGCTTCAACCCTTGCGTCCATTTTTGACATCAAATGTTTTGAAGTAATACTGTAAAGCCACTAGATGGCACTGGAATGATTTACTGGAACTACACTTTCTTGTATCCTAAAATTAACTGTACCGTGTAAAGAAACAAAAACATATAGTGCCTATAAATCTAAAATGTTCAAACTCAATCATGATTTTGGTCAATGTTTAGCAAAGGTGTTAAAACACTTCAGTAGCTACCTGATGATTGTGAGAGGACCATTAGGATAATGTATTAGAGACACAGGGATTATTCATAAAACATCATGCTCCTGACTACTGACTGCCCATCTCAACAACAGGAAAACACTGATTCATACTGAACCAACGAATCCAGGATGAACTCCGTGTGTTTACCTGATTCTTGACCACATGCCGACACAAATGCTGCATGCAAAGTCCATCATCTTTCAAGAATTACCATACAAAAGAAAAAAGAAAAGACAAACTTGAATTTTTCCAATGGTCCTGAGTGATATGAATAATCCCCAGAGTGCAGTAACAGACAGCTGGTAATCACAGATGAGGAGTTACTCACTGGCAGGAGAGAGTTGCCATTAGAAATGGCAGCAGGAGAGGGAGAGACACGTTAGACTGGGACACAAGAACAAGATTACTCATGGAACAGAATACTGCCACAGAGGATGTATTCAATTACTAGTTTTATTTTTAAAATAAGACTTCATTTCAATTATAATTCATTTTGAAAATGCTAAAACCTCCTCAAAATCTGGCAGCAACAGCTGCAGCAGATAAATATTTGAAATTTATACTTGTTTTCCTCTGTTTTTAAATAAAATACTTCAATAGATTTAATCTTTTATGCAACATCTTCTAAATTACAAAGCATTTAACAGAGAATTGTTAGAGCCACATTTGCAAGAAATGAAGAGGGGTTTTATACAAAGCAAAACAAAAAATGTAAAAAAAAACCTAATAAATAAATTTTAAAAAAGAAAAAAGGGACCATGCATTCATAACGCAAGGAAAGATAACTTAGTAAGGGCAGCACAGGAGCACCACATAACTATGGCGATTATTAATTTGGTTGGCAATGAATGGAGCAACACAGAGGGATCATGCAGGTATTTAATGCGCATTCCTTCGTCTCATGTTGGCACATGTTAGAAAGCTCTCAGTAAGACATGAGTCAGACATAAACAAATATTTACGAGGCCAGAGCCGACAGTGACAGAATGATACGCAGATTTTTCAAAGATGAGTGTTTGACTTTTGGCACTTGCACATGGTTTTGAGAGCAGATGCCTGAATATACATTATCGTTTGGTTTTAGTTTGTGTATTATAGTCTGTGCAATTGCATTTTTCTTTTTATCAAAGACATATCTAAAATCTAAACTCTTTGTTGGCCACTCAATTATTTATGGTAGCTAAGAATATAATGTTTAACATAAAATGGATGAGTGGGCCTTCAGAAAAATGCTTTTATATATATAAAGCAGTTTGAAACGGCAGTTTTTGGCCAATTAACACCCCCCCTCCCCCCACCTCCAAAAATTCAATCAGCTAACATCCCCTCCCCTCTTTCATAACAAGAAATGGGCTATAAACGATTGGGAATAAGAAGAAACTTAGAAATATAATATTGCAATGCATGATAAAAACAACTGTGAAGTAACAAAAGCCAACTGACAGTGACATTAAAAACACTAGCTTCACAATTACTCCTATTTACATATGAACAATAGTCCTTCAAGTCTCCAGTTATAAAAAACAAAAAACAGTAAGACATTTAAATGATAATACAGCATAAACATGTCTACACATAATAATAACCCCATGTACTGTATATATTTATATGCATGTAAACATATATACATATGCATACATGTACATCTATAAATATATATCTAATTTACAAACATACAATTTGAGGGTAATATACTTTACATTTATGGGATATAGCAGTGTCTTTTAGGGCTTTTCTTTTAAAATTTACCCCATCACACAGGCAAACCCATCAACAAAATGCTTTTTACACACATTTAAAGCCACTCGTGATCAAACACTACTACACACACACTCTATATGCTCACACGCTCAGCATCACCAGTCGGCATCCTCCTCTATGTAATAATCTGGGGTGGCTGTACCATCAAACAAGCCAGGCTCCAGTGACTTGCGCTGCTTGGTCCGAGTGAACACCCGTGACAGGGATCCCAGAGTCATCTTCTCCTTCTTCTTCTTACGCTTCTGGTCCTCCAGGTCCTCCATAGACTGAACAAGGCAGAGGACACAGGAAGCTTGGGTTGATCCTCTCATGTAGCTGAGATGTAGCAATAATTTTACATGTTTGGAATTACGCTTGCTGGCTTTCTTGCTAGATGAGAGGATGGGTACTGCTCTCTTGCCTGTATCCGAAGCTACAGCCAGCAGGTGGATGGCTTTAGATTAGCATACAGACTGGAAACAGGAAGAAACAGCTGGCACAGCTCTGTCCAGAGGTGCCTTCTAAAACTTACTATTAAACCTGTTAGATGCTGTTTGTTTAATCTGTACAAAAGCCCGAGTGTAATGTGTGGTTTTATTTGGGGCTGAACTTTCTTGCCTGGTGCAGTGACTGGGGTCTCTCTCTGGGTTGCTTGTCATGGTGCCGCACCTTATAGTTGTTACAATTCAGTTTTTGTACGGATTAAACAAACAACATATAATATGTTAATCTGGCAACTTTAGAGATGCTGGTAGATGTCACCTTTCCACAGAGCTAGGCTCAGCTGCTTCTCTTTGTTTCCAGTGTTTACGCTAAGATAACCAGCTACAGACACAAGAGAACTATCAATCTTCTCATCAAACCTTCAGAAAGTCAATACACAATGTCAAACACTTTTTTTAAAGTGACTTAAATGTAAACTAGCACCACCACTAAGCAAGCAGGCTGACACCCAGCAGGCCAACAGGACAGACAGACAGACATAAACATAAGAAGACAAAGGGAAGGGAGGTACTTAGAAAAGTGTGGAGGTGTGATTACTTGGTCGAGGGGGCCAGGCAGCTCTTACATTGCAGAGGGAGTGGGTCCGGTGACGAGGTGAGTTTATATCGCTGGGCGTGGACGAGCGGTCCCCGTCCACCGCCGAGGCATCAGAGATGACGGAGGGCTGGCGAGAATGGCAGGGGCTGATCCTGACCACAGCTGGAGGTACCACACACACATGTACACACACACATATAACCATACATGATAAATTCCCACAGTTAGTTTGAGAAACCTCCAGAAAAGGTTAGTATGTCCAGTCTGTAAAAGCAGCACCAAGCAGCATAGAAAGTAAGAGGCATAGTAGATAAGAGAGTGTACCCTGTCTGTCTGTGGTGTGTCCGTGGTAGAGGGTCTGCTGGCTCTGACGGATGGCCGCTGTGAGGGGCAGGTCGGCCTGCATCACCCACTCCTGACTGCCGTTCACCACTGGCTCTGTCGGCATGACCAGCGAGTGGCGCTTCGGTACATCTTTTGTCAGGGTGGCCAGAGACTGCTTTGCCTGGGAGACACATGGGCAACAGGAAGTATGAACTTTGTTTGGAGCAGGGACAAAACATAGTTGACTAATATATTAAACAATCATCAGTGTTTCATAGTGGTGGGCATCATTACAGCTATAAGAATTATTTTTACACCACTGGAAAATAATACTGCTCTACCTTAATGTCATTGCCATTTCTAAATGTATGTTAAATTTACAGGAATGTTGATTATGAGGGATTAATTTTCTTTCTCTGCTGTATGAAACTACAAAAATGTATTAACATCGAAATTATGAAACAACGGAATCTGCAAACTCACTGTACGTTGGTAAACACAAGATCTCAGTTAAATAGTATAACTTGATTTTCATCATATATAGCCTACTGACTTAAGCACTGTATACATGCACAGTATTTTAAAAATTAATTTATGTATTCATTTAGTGCATGAAACCTTTGTAAACAATAACAATAAAGAGAGAAGAGAAGGAAAGAGAAAGAAGGTCAAATGACATTTTGTGGCTGGGTTGTATGACTAGGCTGCAGCTCTGGCACTGATGTGCCAACAAACCCGATTTGTGCTGCAACTTAATGTGAGGATCTGTGGGTGGTGGTGACTTGCTGAGGGAAGAGAGAGATTGATGACACAGGCTGACAACTGTACCTCTGAGGGACCTGACGCAGTAACACAGAAAAAAGGCATGAATTTCTGATTCCTTAGTCTGGAGAAAGAACTGAAGCTTTGAGAGAGGGAGGGGATGAGGATATGAAAACGATCACTGGAGGTTCAGGACGAGGAACACGCCCCTAATGCACATCTTTCCCTGCCACCTGCCTACAAATACTTCCTCTCTCCACCTGCAGAGTGTTTTCGTTTTCTGTAAACGGCGGCCGCAGTCTGGCTCACTCTAACCTTGCTCGCCTTTCACAACGGTTTGTGGACTTTGTCTCTGCTTCAGCGGATGTGTTCCTGTCCTGTGCATGGTCATCGCCCTCCTCCACCACTATCCCTGCCTCATGCAGGGCGTCCTCCAGCCTCTGGGAAACCGTCCGTGTCCACACTGTGGGTCACCATCAGGCACAAGAGGCTACCTGTTGGCCTCCAGCACCAGGCTCGGGGCGGCAGGACCCCACCAGTCTTTCTTCTATTTCTGCTTTCCCACTATTCTTTCTTCCCCAGGCACTGAGCTGCCTCCTGCTGTTCTGTCATCTCTCCCACTCCTTTCCTCCTTTTTGTCTTCTTTCAGTCCTGAGCTACATGGCTGCACTTCCTCCCTTTCCTGGCACTGAACTGCCACTGCTCCTACCAGCACTGGTCTGCAGTCTGCTTTCTGCTCCGCTGACTCCCACTGGCATCCCCCTTATTTCCCTGACCAAACCTGCCACCTTGCCTCCAGTATCTCCTCCTCCATTGGCAGTAGGGGTGTTCGGCACTGCCGCCCTGTTGCTCTCTTTTCTTGCTCTACCTGCCGCTCCGGGGGAGCAGCCCTTGACTTTGTGTTTTTTGTCCCCTCATTCTTCAGGTTCATTCCTCGACTCCATGGTGTTCTCATGCCTGAGCTGCTCCTACTGGCTGCTCCCTCACTGGGTTTTTGGAGCTTGTAGAGCATGACATGGTTTGCTGATTCGTGGCCAACAGGATCGGAGCGGCAACTACAGCAGCCAGCAAGGTATACCAGACTACCTCATGAAGATCAAGGGACAGAAGACCTCACATGCCCACCAGCAGTACATCTGCTCAACCCTCAGGATGTGCATAAAGTCCAAATCTGCCCTCTTCTTAGGAAGGTCTTTTGGGGGATTTGCCACACCTGAATGCTGCACAGATCCACCAAAAGCCTTCCCCTAAAATTCTCTAACAGTCACTAAGCAGCATCAGCACAAAGTTCCATGTAGGTGTGGTCCTGACTAGTGAAATGCAGTACTGTGTACCACAAAAGCATACTGGATGGGAAACCACAAACAGGACTGCAAGCCCATACCTTATTTAAATTCATGGCAAACACACAACTAATGATTCTTACAGGTAGGTGACAGCATTGTGCTTGAGTTAATTCAGTAAAGTTGTGACTGTGTTCATGTGCAGGGTTACTCGCCATGGTGAGCTCAGCCTCCAGTTCTTTGATCCTGTTCTCCTTCATGTCCATCTGAGAACGTAAGGTGTTGGCCTGCTCCGTGGATTCTTTGGTCTGCCTCCTCAGATCCCACTTTTCCCTCTCCAACATGTCCTTCTCTTTTGCCAGGGCTTTCACTGCGTCCTCACTCTCCTGAGGAAAACATACACACATACAAAGACATGACTAATCCCAGCCACTCTTAATTTAAAAGATCAACAGAGCTCCAAATCTAAGCCAAGAAGCACGTCAGAGCTACTTTCACAGTCAGAATCTATTTCAAAACCTAATGCAATTCAGTGATGCCAGTAACAGACTGCTGTAGGAGGGCTGCTTTTAAAATTAAGGGTGTCACCTGACTGACAATGAACATTTGAGGCAGATACTGATTGCCGATATTCGAGAGTTTTAAAAGATCTGATCATGATATAGCAACTGATTATTTCAAAAGGTGTTTTACTATATAGTCATTAATGGACTGTTTACTAAACTTGGGGGACTCGAGTCACTTGACTTGAGTCAGACTTAAGTCACAAATCTGAGGACTTGAGACTTGCTTGACTAACATTCGTAAAAGACTCGACTTGATTCAGACTTGAGACACGTCTCAAAATTACTTCCGTTTTTTTAAAATTAAATATTAGCATTTTTTTTACATATTGAGATTTTGTTTTTGAAACACAATTGGGTGAATTCTACTTCAATGGGCACAAACCTGGCAACCTACTAGAACGCAGCAGACCAGCAAAGGGCAATGCCATGCTGCAGGATGAGGCACAGAAATCAGCAACATGACCACAACAACATCTAACTTCATCAGTCACTACAAACTCACAAAGAAAGGTAAGAAACACTACGTGAATGTGTCTTTTCAGCTAATGTTAGCTAACCTAGAAAGCTAACATTAAGTTTAAGCTGTTATATATTGGCTGTTATTAGCCCTTACAATAGTCATAAAGTGCTATTTACCAGCCAAACTATCTGCAGTAAAGTAATACTGATAAATCAGCTGAACAGGGGTTACCTTTCGGTGTTGGTCATAGTTGCGTATGAATTCTCGCAGCTGATCTTCTCTACTCTCCAGAGTTGTGTACAGCTGCTGCATCTGACTCACCAGGTCTGCCTTCTCCACTTTTAGACGCTTACGGTCAGCTTTCATAGCTGCAACACAGACAAACACCTTTTCACATTGATTACCACACACAGCACATGCACATATCAAGGAGAATCTTAACTGAACAAAGTATGTGATGTCATGACATGTCAGTAAGATTTTGCTGCTTCTAGGACAGAAACAAAGCTTTGCACTTGCAACAGAGAGCCACTAGGTGACACTGTGTCTTGTGGGAATGAGGAGCTGCAGCTGGTGCTTTCTTTTATTCCTCAGACAGAAAATGCCCAGAGAAAATGATGTAATCATCTCAGAGGATAACTGGCACAGTGGCACTTCTTCATTCATACATGAAACTGTTCCAGCTGGCATGTGGAGACCGCTGGCTCATCCCTGAGAAGACCAATCAAATCTGATTTCTTTCAACTGCTCACAAAGGCAACTCAACAGTGGTGCAACTGGTGAGCCTCTTTGCAGGGAAAATAATAACAGTGCTCTCCCGGCAGTCTTTGCTCAACAGAGAGGCAAGACTGAAACTGGTACTTGTCATAACTCCATACATGTGTCACTCAGGAAGCATTCCTCCTGTCAGCGTTCAGCCTTTTCATATTCAACATTTAACATTTAAACCTGTTTTGCAGCAGTTACACAACACAGTTTACAAGCATGCAGTTTACCAACCTCCAATCTCTAAGCAGAGGAGAGGACCTTGCAAAGCAGTACTTCACTTAACTAAGCTCGCTCCACAATTGTCTTTTCACTTTTCCAAAATGTTTTTGGATAAAGCGGTGAAAGCAGGGCTGTTAGTTTTACTCCTCTCCCAAAGAACTGTGGGGTTGTATAACAGATTTGTTTTCATACAAGAAATGAAATCAATCAGATTTTACCAAATCAGCACTGCGTTCCAATCTAGATCAATACCGCAGTGTTATTTCTAAGTAATGTGTCTATGTCACGACTGATGGATTATAATTAAAATGAGGTGAACCTGGAATCAGCTTGGCTGCTCATCAGGGGCGACACCCGTTTCTGAGTAGTAAAGTCATTTTATGGCAGCACACTGAATGAACAAACGCAAGAATAGAAAGACTGCTTAATAAATATGTACTTATGTGAGTGTATAATACCATATGAAATAAATAATCATCAGCTATTTAACTGGGAGGAAAAACATTTGTCAGAATAAACTTCAGGCTTGTACCAGTTTATTATATCTTTTTAGTACAAGTACACACAATGCTATGTTCCTCTGTTCTTAGATGTGTGTTACTGGAGGATGTCTTGTTATATTTTTTATGTTGTATATATACCAGATAGGCCAAATGTCTGGCAGGACATAAAAAAACAAACTAAACTACTGTAAGTGACAGCGGCTGATTTTCTTTGGTGAGATAAAGTGGATCCAATTCAGTCACAATATATTTTTTGCTCAATGTAACTTGAAAAGAGTGAATCTTCCAAGGCTTGGACGACTGTATTTGCTATATGTTCATAGTAGCTGTTGGAAACAAAGGCCTCTGCTGGATTAGGTAACATGACAAGAAGCTTGCGTTGGCTCCTGACCTTGTAAGGCCTCCTTGGCACGGTCTAGCTCCTGCTCTTTGTCGCCCAGCTGCACACGGAGTTCGGTGGCGGAGAGCAAATTGGCAGAGCAGCCTCCGTGGGTCTCCTCCAGGTCCTTACTCAACATGTCTTTCATTTGCCTCAGCAGGTGAACTTCTTCTTGAAGCTGGGCAACCTCCTCATGCAGCAACACTTAGGAAGAATGAGAGAAAGTTTGGGATTTAGAGTATGAATGAGGAAAGAATGCAGGACAGGGGGAGAACATGAAATCAGAAGAGATACAGTACGTGCAAGAGAAAATCAGAAGAGAAGAAAAAAATGGAAAGTATGTGAAAGGAGGAAGTAATATTAATAGCTGGATTTAGAGAGGAAGGGAGTGATTATACTGCATATGACAAAATACAGGCTCAAACCAACACATTCAACCCCCATAAGACTCACAGCTCCCCCTCAGCTGTAGCTGCAGGTGTTTTAGAAATTCGGATAACAGCTGAATGACACACTTAGGACTGGAACTGGTGAAAGTAGTGTGTAAGTGAGAGACAGCAGTCTGATAAGACTGAACAAAGCATCAGCAACACATGCTCGAGGCGTGCTCCTCGGTGCTGTGTTCTCCATCGACTGTGAAATGCCTCCCACCCCTTGGGGAAAACAGGCAAGCAAACAGAAGCAGAACACTAAGGAAAGGAAAAAAGGAAGCTAACAATGAAGTGAAGAGTGAACTAAGGGACAGGAGCTGCTGCAGGATGAAGAAGATGAGAAGAGTTCAGAATTTTAGTCCCGTAAGTGAAATCCATCGTAGCAACAGAGGAACAATATGTCAAAATGGGTTTTATAGCACATATAACAATAGAAGGTCTCTTACAGCAGTAACACACTTTTCATAAGAACTGGGAGAAATGACACAAGCAGCCAAAACATTCAGCTCTAGTGTAAAACCTGTAACCCCTGATGGAAAATTTGGAAATCCAAAAAACCTTTATGATACCTCAGTGCAAGATGCGAGCCCACTGAAAAAGTATCTACTTGGATAATGCAGGAAAGATCAGTCATTCAACAACCAACCTGATGAATGAATTGTTTCTGGATTGCTTTTCTGACAAAAGCAGTGATTTGGAGATGACATCTTGAACTCTAGGATCTTGTAATATTGTAATTATGAGTTTAGAAAAAGTCACACATAGGCCTAAATAACACTTTACTTTGTGCAGATCCCTATAAGACTTCATCTACAGTAACACTGTGTAAAAGTCAAGAGCAAGTACACATGCTGGGAAGTATGTTTGCATGCATGTGTGACTCAGAGAGCAAAAGAGAGAAGGTCTCTGCAGGCCTGCAGCCAGGCGATGCGGGGCTGCAGCTAGTCTGATAAGGGAGGAAGGGACAGTCCATTGGTCTCTGTCGACTCAGGACTATGGAAACACATCAGGCAGCTCTGTGCTGCATGTGACAAAAAGAGTTTGTTTCTCCGAAAGAGCAATTTTTCACAGCCTTCTTGCAGCCTAAATCCGCTTATTCATCTGTTTACCTGCAGGCTCTCCTACATTTGATGCAACCAGGCCAGCTGCTGCTTTTGATGCCACTGAATAGAAATGTGCAATTTTGAGGTGCTTTGTTATGTTCAACTTAATCTTCAACTCAAAACAGGCTGTTTAAATTATGAGCTGCATTTGATGTGATGTGAAGGTTGATCTGCTCTTGTTGTTAGCTGTCAGCTTAGCAAGCATAGCAGCTGTTTGGTAATTCAGTATGCTCCTTTTCCCTGTTTTACTAAATCTTTAAAGATTTTAGTATCATAGTGTTACATATCATGACAGATATGGGAATAGCTAGTATATAGTCTAGTGTAAGTCAATTAAATCCAATTATGAACTATGCTAGAACAGTGTCTTCAGGAGTATTTGCAGTGTTCAGATAAATTAATCTCCCAAATCCAGTTTTGCATTAATTTCTAGCATCAGCCACAGTAGTACACAACGTACATTCAGGCTAAAGTGTGCACAACTCCGCTCACACATTTTTCCTCTCAGATTTACTGCCTCAAACTGAGGGTGAAATTAAAGAAAAGGAAACTTCTCAAGATCTTCTAGTCTTTTCTGAATATGCAGTCAGTTCAGATCTAGGAACTGTGTGAAGGGACGCACAGAAAATCAGTTTCACTTGAGTTAGAACTGTTTTAAGGGCAAAAAAACCATCTACCTGCAGGTAATTTACCTCCACATACACTGTTACGTGCAATCTAAAAGGCAATTTAAATTGACAGGAGTCACATAAACCATGCACAGTCTATATCATCTAGGGTGAGTGGTTATGTAGTTGGCTTGGCCAAGCTATTAGAATCCTGCCACAGAAGAGGAGAAGACCACTCTTCATCTTACTCAGCAATGGCTCATTCAATTAACTTCTCATTGAAGCTTCACATTAGAGTGTCCATCAAAGCCAGTCAGGACCAGGCCATCACTCCTTGCCCTTTTCCTGTGCATAGCAGAGCTGTCACAAGCCACACACACACACACAGAGCATCGAGGAGAGAAAGTGTAGTCACCGTAGGCTCAGGATTAGGCTTAAGATCAAGTGAAGGCACCGTTCTGGGCTTGAAAAGATGAAGTCAAATGTGTGGACTGGAGGTCAAAGACCTGAACTAGTGTCCTATGAAAGTATGCAGGATTAAAAAATGCCATATTTACTGTCTATACATGAATGATCAAAGTCCTAACGTGAGCTGTGTTGGAATATAGAGTTTGGATGAGAAGCTAAATTCAAAGTTACTGCTCTTGTTGCAAAAATCGATCTTATTTTAAAAGCAGTTGCAGGCTAACTATTTTGAGTGCATCCAAATTGAACTCGGCCTTGATTGTGTCTTGTCATTAAACAATTACTTTTCAGTGAACCGTCAAACTCCTAGAAAGGTTCACTCAGTGGGGTTGCTTAGACTGAATCAGAAGGTGCTGCCAGACAATTCAGAGGATTTTGGCTTTTTTTCAGCATATTGCCTTTGAATGTGTCAGTTTATCAAAATGATGAGACATATATATGTTATTTTCTTCTTTTTTGTAATTTGGGTGAACTGAAAACTTTCTTTAATTGACTGACAATCTTCTGCCAGACATTATGAAAAAAAACTTGTTCAACAAATTATGGTCCACTGGAAGACAAACCATGAAAATAATATGGCTCAATTGAGAAGGGTGTCAAAAATCTCTGCAGTGACAGCAGCCAACTGTTCGGCCCTGAGGAGTTACCATGTGCATGGCTGTCAGTTTTCCACCTCTGTCCCCCCTGACAATTCAGATTGTAGTTAACACTCAGCTATTTCTCTCCAAGACAAAGCCAGAGGCGACGATGCTGCCTTTTCCTCTCCCCTAATCTCTTAGTTACAGAAGTGATAGTTGGATAACAAGGTCGAACATTATTGCACATCTTTACTACAGAGTGTAGACTTAGAGCGCTGTCATAACTGTCCTCCTGAAGCAATATTCTTAACAGAAGACTCCTCTGAACAACCAGCTCATATTACTACTGTCTTGTTGGACACTGGAGTCAAGTGCATAAAAAATGAACAACTTGCCTCCCTGCTCTCATTAAATTAGA